GGCAGTTATTGATGAATGTCTGTAGTTTATTGGAAATCCCTTTAGTGACGCGCCAAGTCTCTGAACCATACAGAAGCACTGACTTGACGTTGGTGTTGAAAATCTGCATCTTGTTCCACATGCTGAGTACAGAAGATCTCCACACTGGTTTCAGGCTAATGAACGCCTGTCTTGCTTTTCCGACCCTGGCTGGCCTTAATATCATCTTATGTGCCGCCTGTAGTTGAAACAGTGCTGCCTAGATAAGTGAAGGAGGTTACTTCCTTTAAGTTTCTCCCGTTGATGGTGATTGGAGTTTGTTGTTGTTGTTGGAGTTGTTGGTGCGGTATCTTCATCACCTCTGTCTTCTCTATATTCACTTGAAGTCCCGTCTTCGCTGCCTCTTCGGACAACTTGTTAGTTTTTGCCTGTAGATCTTCAAGTTTGTGTGACATCAGGCACAAATCAATGGCGAAATCCAAGTCTTCTAAGTTCTTTTCCGCAGTCCAGCCATTGTATCCCCCTCTTCTCACAGCTCCCCACTGTTTGCTGCATGATCCAGTCTAGTCGACCACAATCACGAATATCATGGGGGATAGTAGGCGGCAACAGTGTTTCACTCCTACTCCTGTCTTCACTTCAAAAGCATCACTGAGCTTCCCATTGTGAATTAATTGACTGGTATGTGGCGTCTTCATATAGTTGTTGGATGAGGCTGATAAAGGTATGTGGTATTCCGTAGTAATGAAGCAACTGCCAAATTACTTCTCAGTCGACGCTGTCAAAGGCCTTCTCAAAGTCGATAAAGTTGAGGTGTAGAGTTGACTGCCATTCTATACTCTGTTCTATGATGATGCGTAGTGTGGCGTTGCAATTTGGTCGGCACATGATTTGTACTTCCTGAATCAAGCCAGCCTGCCTGTTTGGGTCGTAGTTTTGAATCCAGTGCATACTTTAGCCTCTCCAGGATGATGCGGCTCAATATTTACTTGGGGTGGACAGGAGAGTGATTCCGCGCCAGTTCTTGCAAACACTGAGGTTTCCCTTCTTCGGCAGTTTGACAAGGTAACCCTTCTTCCGAACAATCTGCAGGTACCTTCCCTTCCTTTCACACCTTCTGCAATAGTGGTATGAGCATGTCCGCTGTTTTCCCTGCGTCTGTTCTCAGTGCTTCTGGAGGGATCCCATCTGGTCCTGCTGCTTTCCCGCGTTTCAGTATCTTTATGGCGTTCAGGACTTCCATTTTTGTTGGAGGATTTATGTTCACTTGTAGTTCTGTGACTGGGTTGTTGGAGGTATTTCTGGACGAAGTGCAGGTGGTGGTCGATTCAGCAGATTTTTGAAGTAATCGGTCCATCGTTTTCTTTGTTTCCCTTCTTCCCTAGTTAAGTTTTTCTTCATCATCTTTTTTTGGTTTCATCTGCGTTGACCTCTCTCGCCCCAGATAGTAACCTGGTTATTTGATACAATGTTATCAGCTCTCTGTCTCTCCTACCTGCAGCCTGTTCTGCTTCACTTGCCAGTGTGTCATAGAAGTGTATTTTGTCTTTCCATGCACTCTTATTCACTTCTTTGTCCAGTGTAGTGTTTTATGCATTGTACTCAGTTCCTCTTCTCGTCGTTCATCTTCGCACTGGTTCATCTCATGCTTCACCATCTTCCTCTCCCTGCTCTATCAGCTTCCAGGTATCCGTCGAGATTCATTCCTTATCTTCTTTCTTCTTCCTTCTTAATACGGTTGTGCAGGTTTCTTTCCACATAGCTTTCAAAGACTTCCAGTGTTCTTCCACACAGGTTTCTTCAGGGATGTTCCTCGATATCTCCCATTTTGTCTTGATGGCTGCCTTGAAGATCTCCTTTGTAGTTTCATCCTTCAGTTTCCGAGTGTTGTACTTGAATTGCGGTCTATCACCAGCTTCCTTGAAGGCTTTTAACTTGATTTGGAAAGCAGGTTCCTTACACTAGACAGTGGTCTGAACCTACATCTGCTCCTCTTCTTGACCTTGTGTCAAGTAGACTGCGTCCCCACTTTCTCCAGATTGAAATAAGGTTGATTTGACTTTTAGTGTGTCTGGTGTCTGGTGAGGTCCGTGTCGCTGCTTTGTGGATATCCTTGTGCTTGAACACACTGCCTCACTGCAATCACCAAATCGTTGAATGCGCAGAATTCTGCAAACAATTCTCCATTCTCATTCATTTCACCTAGCACTTCTCGACCCATAGTTAGTTCTCTTCCTGTGTTGTCCCCTCCCAGTTTGGCATTCATGTCGCCCATTAGAATTTTGATATCGCCAACTGACGTCTTGTCCAGTGTTGATTGCAGTTGTCTATAGAATTCCTCATTTTTCTCTTGCTCTGCATTATTTGTAGGTGCATGGTGTAGCATTGTATGATTGTGACCTTCCTTCCTTTTGAGTTGAATCTTGTTGTCATGATCGTGGAGGTAGAGATTGGTTCCCACTGTATGAGAGCCTTCGATGCTGTTGGGGACATCATGATAGCCACTCCACTCTATAACTCAGTGTGCTCGTGGTTGTCGTCTGGGTGACAATATCGGAGTAGATTATTGATTCTCCAGTTGACATTTTGGAGAGTCCACTCCCATTCCATCTGCTTTCGCAAATTCCAAGCACTTCAATGTGATACCTCTTCATCTCGTTTGCAATTTGGGCTGCCTTACTGGGTTCAAACATGGTGCGGATATTCCATGTCCCCACGTTTACTTTCGCTTTCATCGAGAGAAGCGAAGACACATCGGCTAACTGGCTTCCCGAAGGCTTTCACCAACTGGCATAATTTCGCCTCTCCGATTCCAGCGAGGAATAATTTTGTTATTATTTTTTATATTTTGTTTGTGCTTTAAAGTTTGTTTAGCGGTTAGATTTGTTTACGGGTTAGGGTTGCTAGCCCTATGCCCAACCTTCCCTCTTTACCCAGGCTTAGGACCGTCTAGTAACTAGTGAACTAGTTAATCAGGTGAGGTTTATATTCAAGTATGTTATGTCGTTATTACTACTACAAATGATTTATTTTACTTGTAGGGCTTTTGGAGCTGATGAAAGGCCACGAAATAAAATCAACTTATTTTGTAAATGTCTTTGTTCTTGTATTGTTCAACTTTGTCAGCGGAAGTGGATGTATAACATTTCTGAATACAGAGGAAGTTAGTGCTTTTTCTTCACAGTGTCTGTTGGACCTAAGGTTTTCAAAACCCACTCCATTAGTCATTCAAAGTCTAAAACGAAAATAATAGAGAACAGCTCAGTACTTTATCAAAAATCTGATAGCTGAAAAGCATAGGACTTCATTCATTTATTTAAAAGTGTTTGTTATGTCTTAAATAATGTTTTCTAAAAGGTTTTTCATCATATAGTTTTTTGGAGAACCATACAACAGAAAACTTGTAATTGAGGCTACGGGAACTTGTGTGACTTTAGGAGTATTCTAACTGGCTGTGAATGCTTATTTCCTTAGCTTTTGATTTGCTTAAATATTCGAGAATTAAGATCTGCACTTCTCAATATTACGCTAGATTCAAACATGTGTCACTGAGTGCTACACCTGGAAATTGGTCAATGAGTTTTAAGCTTTGGAGGTTTTAGAGAAGAGATAATTCAGCGAAGAAAATTTTCTTTTTCGACGATATCATTTTCTAAAGCTGTACAATCGTATTTATATGTATCATAAACATAACGGTCCATTATAAAACAATAGGGGATAATAGCATCGTTAACCTAACGCTACAAAAAGCCGTATCAAGAATGCAAAGTAGTTGCGTAATAATCTAAGACAGTAGAAATATCGAGGAAGGCAAGGAGTTTGACAAGGTGAAAATTGTTGGTAGATAAGAAATGCAAATATTGAGTATCCACTTGACAGATAGGTGTAAAGAAGGTGAAGAATGAGACAAGGGTCATAATGAAGGTGATAATAATAAACTGATTAATCATAATGAGATCGAAAAAATGAGTGTTAAGACCATGGTAAGAGGAGAGATTGAACATACTTCTTTTGAACGCAGAGATCAGGCTTGAAATGATGAACTGCCAGTGTCTCCGCTGTGCACAACTGTTGAAGGCGTACTCCTTTTGAACTATTCCATCTGACACGATAAATGACATTGAAGGAAGATTCTGGTCTAGCTTTATGTCCAGAGTTGACCAAATGTTCAAGAATTGAACTGTTAATTGATTTACATTCTCCCCTCGACAACCATGCAGGATAGTGCTCAGAAATACGTTTGGAAAGCGTGCTCTTTGTGCGGCATATATATATATATACGATTCTACAGGTTTAGAAAATGATATCGTCGAAAAAGAAAATTTTCTTCGCTGAATTATCTCTTCTCTGTTTTGGAAGTTTGTTGAGATTTATTGCTTTCAAGCTGGTATTCATCATGGACCATTATCAGTTGGAGAACCATTGAGAGCCAGTGAACACAAGACAGCTGGCTCGTCCTAGTATGGGGCTCCTCAGCAGTGCGTACAATGACCCCATCAAGGATGGGATTCAGAATCGATTGAGCGAATCACGTCGACCATGAGGACAGGTACTCAATGACAGCATTGGATGAAGGTTGCACTATGCCGTAAAGTGACAGATGCAAGAAATATGAACCACTGGATTCAAAATCAGTAGCTCAGTGATAACGTGCTGACTACGAGAAATGACAGACTTCGGTTCGATCCTTTGTAGGGGCTTGAGAATACAGTACTGAACAGCCCCATACTCAGGTGAAACAGGTGTCCAGTGCTTCGGCGTTTTCAATGTCTCGTCAGTTGGTGTCATCAGATGATGAACAGCAAAGTGAAATAATCTCTCAGCTTTTTCAGAAAGTCAGGAAAACTGCGTTTTATGAAATTATTTGCTAAGTAACAGCTGCATTGACAAATTTAATCTAAACGAAGCATGCCGTCCTAGAGGATTTGTCAGGTGAGAAGGATAAGATTAAATTTAAACTGACAAAGTGTATGCTCGTAATGTACTTTTTTTTCTTCTTTTTTTCATTTCACCATATTCAGCGCCAACCGATCAGCATCGTATCCTGTTGCATTTTCGTGGAACATTTGAACTGGAGCCTGAATCACACTGTACAACAGATTTTTTAGAGATACGCGATGGGGCTTTCGGCTTCACTACACTATTAGGAAGATTTTGTTCAAAACAGGTACCTGATTTAGGCACAGGACTTATATCAAGTGGTCAGTATATGTGGTTACGATTCCGTAGTGATTCAACAATTGCACATAGAGGATTTCAAGCAGTTTATCGATTTCTTCAGGCAGGTGAGCTAGCCAACTAGTTATTCATATATATTTATGGATTTGAACCAGTAGCATAGGATTTTCTTTGTATCTTATCAGTTGCATGATACTTTTCCTAACAACTCTTTGAAAAAACACTTTGTTAAACAAGAAATATACTTTTCGATAACTTCTTCCTTATGCCGCACAATGACATATCCATATTGTCGAATCAAAGAATAGGTTTGAATTGATGAATTGCTAATGCTTCTGCTGTGCACAGCTATCGAAGATGTACTCCTTTTGAACTATTCAATTGGAAAAAGTGTAAGAAAAGAACGGTGAGATCTTATATGACAGTTTGATCGTTAAGCTTTCATTGTCATCCTAAACAACATCATCAGCACGAACTTCAGAAAGATGTCAGCTGTTAGGTTCTCTCCACAATTTATTTGGTAGATTGTCTTAATGACGTTTTATATGATTGGTTGTTTCTTTCAAGGACTAGTTCCTGTCTCTATACTTATTTTGATTCGTTGCCCCAATGACCTGAAATTTCGCCTCCTTGTTGTTTCTTATTGGTTGATAGATTGGGTCAATTTCAATACTTCTGCTGATCACTGACTGAACTGAATGCCGAGCTTCTAAAAATTCTCTAGCATTCTTTATATTTTCTCTATCAGAGATTTCTACATTTTCCTAGTCAAATTCATGTCCACAGTTTTTCTTATGCATCGATGTGAGCAAAGATATGTCATGGCGCTTCACTGCTAATTGATGTTTATGTAGACGAATACGAAGAGGACGACCATTCTATCCAATGTAGTTTTGGATTTGGTGTGGAAGAAGTCCAATGACAGTAGAATCAAATCTCATCCATGTAATATCGCCATCAGACGTCATGCACTAACCAGACAGATTTTAATTGTAAATAGTTAGTATAGGTATCAAGCTGTGAAAATTAAAAAGACTACCGCGAAATCCGAATGACTGTAAAGGCCACTCTAGCAATGGGTAGAATTCTGTGACTAAACATCAAACTGTGATCAAGGACAAAATGTGTCATACCCAAGTGCCTATTTCCAAAGGTCATTAGCTGCTAAGGTAGAAGTTTGAGACTGCAACCTTGTTTTCGTGTGGGTGGAAAATCTTTATTGAACAGTTCCGTCCTACAGCTGACCAATCGAAATATGCATCCAACTTGTGACCTAGTGGCTTCATTTTCTGACGGAAAACCGTATATAAGTGATATGAATTTTGTCAAGTAAAGTTGTCTTCCTAACAGTCTGGATCGATCTTGAGTTCTGATTTTCTTGTATTCAGTCAAATGATCGCGTCGCGTACTTATAATTAGTCAGTCAGTCACATCACGTAAATCCGCAGCGATAAATGTTTTTCAAAAAAATAATTCTATCACTTGGTGTTTGAATGGTAAACAAGTTGATGTCGTGGTCCTGAGGGCCAACTGAAACCTTTTGATAAGAGTTAGGTGAAGTAACAAAGAGGCTTAAACACATTTTGATTAGGGACTTTCTATCTCTAGCTGTGCATAAACCCTAGTTTCCATGCCTCATAATGAACTCAAAGTAGGAAGATAAGAGGCGAAAATGGGCGAACAGCGTACACATACTTCGTCTCAGTCGAATACTAAAATTGCAGCTGAGCACTCCAAATTTTCAAATCTGATGATTTCCAGATATAATTTAGTCATTATTCAGTACGACAGGTCAACAATCATCCTCATTCCAGCTTTGCTTCAGTTTATGTAAGTCATGACTTCTCATCAGATTTTAAGTGGTCAATTTGAAGTAGATAATGACTCATCTCTCCCAAAAGGCTATCGGTCACTGACTAGTCAAATTAATAATACTCTATGACTCTCCAATGACTGACTTTAAGATAGGTTTCCCAAGCTACTATTAGAAGCCGTAGTTTTTAAATTGAATCAAATTACCTCCCAGTGTCACTAAACTCTGTTTTCACCATGCACCTCGAAATGCATCAACAGTGTCGTTTAAACTGAAAAGTTGAACGGTAAAATGGTGATTGTGATACGTGGATGTCCTGGCTTCCGTTGCGAGCAAGCTTCTGAGGAGTCTCGATTGACTAGGAAATCATCTATGTAGGACTTCTAGTTGGTTGGAGGCAATCGCCAGGAAGCCCTGGACCTATGTTTCGTGCTTCTTGGCACTCGTCAGCAAGGCGTATCTGCAACCTCGGCGGAACTGCTGTCCCACCCGCGATACGAACCCGCGCCAACCAGTGTTGTAGTCAGCGACTTTACCACTGAGCTATTTTGGCCGCGGCTGACCTCCTGTGCTAAAGAACTCTAGCTAACTTATTTTATCATGTAATGAAGTGCTCATCTGTAAGAATAGTCATGTTAAGAAATACACACCATTTGCAAACGCGTTCCCCTTCTCTGACGATATGTGCTTGCTGGTGATTAACAGTTGAGTCTACCGTCGATCAAACTGATGTATTTGTATCCCTGTTTGATAGTCTTTCTGTAAGGAAATATGAATCGAGCACTCATCATCACAGTGTAACCCACTGAATCATGAATCAAAATGGCTTCTTCCAGTGTGAGGTAAGTGGAGAGCCATCAATTCATCACAATGAAGTGATGCCTCCAACCAACTAACATCTACTAATTTGCACCGCGATGCTGAGCTTCCTAGCTTGGTTGCCACATTGCAAATATGATCGATAGAATTTGATCTGCACTCAGGACTAGACAACATGAAATTGGTTGCACTCCCGTGACCAATCAATACATGTAGGACTTCTATTTGGTTTCAACTACTCATGACGAGAACCATTTTACACCCGGTCGATTCTCCGCTGAAGTAAACAGAAGCTATATGTGTTCATTAAATCGGTCTTTTTTCATCAACCCAGAATATCAACCTTTATGAAAAGGGCTAATAGGCGAAAATCCTATCTGTAGAGATTATTATGACTGTTGTTTGTATTGTAAGCAGGAATTTGTGATCTTTCCATATTCACTTCATTGTGATGAATTGATGGCTCTCCACTTACCTCACACTGGAAGAAGCCATTTTGATTCATGATTCAGTGGGTTACACTGTGATGATGAGTGCTCGATTCATATTTCCTTACAGAAAGACTATCAAACAGGGATACAAATACATCAGTTTGATCGACGGTAGACTCAACTGTTAATCACCAGCAAGCACATATCGTCAGAGAAGGGGAACGCGTTTGCAAATGGTGTGTATTTCTTAACATGACTATTCTTACAGATGAGCACTTCATTACATGATAAAATAAGTTAGCTAGAGTTCTTTAGCACCTGAAAGCTTAATGTTATCAAACAAATGCATTTTATATACTGACCGTTCACTGCAGGGCAACCAGTTTCATATTGTCTATTCTTAAGTTCCGGCCGAATTCTACTGGTTATTTTGCAGTATGGCCACCAAGCTGGGAGGTACACCATTGTGGTGAGCTTGAATAGATGTTAGTTGGTTGGAAGTAATAGGCTTGAGTAGCTCAATAGAAACATTCCTGACTGAAATGTGAGATGATGAGCCTTTGAATGCCAAGAGGGATATCGCTTCCGTCGAGGTTGCTGATACCCCTTGCAGAAAAGTCCCAATAAGTACTAATACTGGGTCCAACGCTTCTTACTGATTCTCTCCGACCAAGTAAAATGTATATCCTCTTTGTCAGTTGTTCCAGTTTGATGTTTTTAGATTCATGATTGGAATATATGCGGACAAAATGATTACTAGATAGAGGGATTCTGTACTCTACCAACCGCTTACCTGTTCTTGCTTCTCAGACAATGTAGAATCAATTGAAGTGATTCAGAAGCAGTTGAATACAAGGCTATGTTGAGTCTTGCTTTCACTAGAACTCAGCCATTTTCCTCGCCTAAAAGGAGTGACTATTTAAGACAAACAATCAGTTGTTCCTTCTTTATAATTCGGTTCAGATTTGAATAGTATAACTGAACAGCTGACGTACTACAGAACAGATAAATACATATCTCTTTATTCATATGACAGTAAGGAAGAAAAGATGGTGACTAAATTGAATTGAAAACCTGTTCAGTAGAATTCTGTACTGACTATTAGAAGGTCGTTAGTTTGACATTTTAATCGATAATATTTCATTGACAATTTATTTATTTAAGTATACAGTCCCATTTTATCTCAATGTATTTTTTGATTCTATGCTAAATTTTTTCAGGTTCACGTAAATCAACCGACAGTGTTTCACGTAAGTTTATCCACTTTAATGAATTGTATTGTTGTTTACAGTTGTGAAAATTATTAATATTCTCTATTATTTGAGATAATAATAGATTTACAGTGTCTGGAAGGTGTATTACATTGATTCCTATAATTGGAAAGGAAACAACTGACCAGGTCAAGAGAACAATGGTCTTTATCTTTAGGTTTAAATCAATTATTCATTAAATATCAACATAGGACCAGGAAATAATTCACAGTGGTCTAAGTTACCATACCTCATATCAGTACAATAAATAACTAAACAGTCAGATGAAGAATTGGTGAAAGCAGTGGAAAGCAATAAAACAGAGAAAGGAAGAATGAGAAACTACTGAATTCAGTATAGCGGTCAAGATGAAGATAAAGTGTGGATATATCTGCGTCACTGACATCGATTGCGAGCCACATCACCTACAGTCTCTAAGTATTGGTTTCTTTTGTCACATGGCAGCCAACGGGTTAGTCTTCACCGCCAAAAATGGCCCAGATCAGTAGCCGTGAACTTCATGCAGTGGTGCCGTGCTTTAGTTAGGCCACCCTTAACCTTTCTTTATCCAGAACTTATTTCAGCTATCACTGCATGACGAGGCACATAGTGACTAAGCATGCATAGCGCACGCCTCAGCCAACTCGGTCGATGAAGACTCACAACCTCATAAACTGATTTTCCTTTTCTTTCGAAAAACTCTATATCTGACTCCTGTGTTGCTAACATGGTGACACCACGACACATAGCTCAGGTTACGAATGTAATGATGGTCAAATATCTGAAGCCTTCTCATGTCCTCAACATTTAATGGCTATGTCTCACACCCACACAATAGAACAGAACGAACTGCAGTACAGTACATTTGACCCTTTATTAGGCAATCGGATATCCTTGCAGCACCACAGGTGGTGTAAGTTGGTGAAAGTCATTCCAGCCTTATGTATGCATGCAGAAATCTCGTAAAGCACTGACCTATCAGGAGTGGTTCAACTTTCCAAGTAAGCGAAGTCAGTCAACACACTCAACCACTTCGCTTTCCACTGTTAGCCGGAGCACTACTGAAGATCAGTTCTGGAGAAACAATTTACATTTGGGTGGCGAGAAATGCATCCCGAACATTCTCAGATTGCCACTCAAGATGTCCAGAAGACTCTGCACCACGTCATCATTTTCATCTAAGAGGACTATGTCACCTTTGCATTCCAGATCCAGCAAAGATTCTACTGTGATTAAATAAATTCCTGTGATATCAGATGACGAGGGGGAGACTTCAATAAGAAAATCTATTACAAAACTGTACAACAGTGGAGCATTGTATGCCTGACTTCAATTTAGAAACCTAGTTGCTGAATAGATTGGCTAGTAGAATCAGATAAAAAAAATGCATCGAACTCAGTTTTTATATATTTTGATGGAATTAGTTTAAGTATAATCATCAAAACAGATGCATATCATCCTTTTTAGAGAACATAGAAACGAAACAAGTACAATTATTCCTGGCTTTGCATGAAGCGAATGTATGTGCTTCTTCCCGAAGCGTTCATAATCTCACTACTATTGAAATGAAGTCTAATAAGCAGCTGAGATGTTGATTGAGGTCATACAAAGGATAATTGCGAAATCACTAAACTGAACAATAATTAATCTATTTGAAAATTATCTCTTGCTCTGAATACCATTCCATACGGTTCTTGTGCTTTATATTTCCATTCAATTTCGTTTTGTTTTTCCTTGATTTCTGACCAATCGATCGTTATCACTTCCGACGTTGTTCTATATACTACTTATGTGTTTTTCTATAAGTGGCTCTACCTTCACTATGTTAGCTTGTATCAAAGGTCAGTATATGCAAGTTGTAATGAAAATGTTTAGCCAGTAGGTTTGATCAAGTCTTACTGCCTAGAGGTGGAATTTAGTTCACGTAAAGCAACTATGTGAAAGCTGTCAAACCTTCCCACTGGTTATCTTTTGGAGAGCTACTGGTTTATGTTATTGTAAATCGAGTCACTGATGTATGACTCCAAAGTCCACCCTAGCAAATACTGAAATAACCAATTAATTTTCTTGATTCAGGCAGAAAACATAGTTTTCCCATAAAAAAATAAACCTGACTGGCTATTTGAGCAGTTAGTAGACTGGTTTTTTGGAGTTGTTTGTAAATTGATGTGTTGATCGGTTGTGTTATGTCCTCTGAGCGGGGTTGTTTGGTCATGAAGCTTTCATTCTCTTTCTAGACAGTATCGCCAGCATTAATTTTAACTGGGAGTGTTCTTTGATAGGTGGTTGAAGTGTTTAGGAGCTGGTTGAAAACTACTGCTGAGAATGAGGTTGATGAGAATTCATGAAATGCATGAACATATAAATTACAATTTCTGCAATTTCTCTGTTCGTGCTTTCCACGTCTGAAAGTTGAAATCTTAGTAAATACGACTTGCGAATTCCAGCGAAAACAGTGAATAATTTCATGTTATGAAAACAGTACACAATGACTATTTTTAAATTATTCGATATTAGCAGACTCACTGCCTGACTGTTGGTGTAGGACTTCTATAGAAATGTAAGCTTCCTATCTGGAGTTCAAGAGATTGCTGAAACAAATGAGTGAACACTCTATGTGATATTCTCTTAGAAATGAGTAGAATGATACAGATATATTCACTCTATACATTCACATTAGTTGTATTACTTACATTTGCTTGACCTCGACTTCTTTTCATCTTACGGCTTTCCATCACTGATGAAGATACTTCTTTTCATAGCTTTGTCATACCAGTTATTTACCGTGCATAGTTGTGGTTCATCGGTCTGGACACTCGACCTTGGACATGTGAATACCCCCTGTTTCAGTCACCAAGGTTTAAGTAGTCACTTAGTATCATTGTTCATCATAAAATAGGTGTAGCTTATTGTCTACTCCGCGAACGTGCTCCTGATTCCTGAATTTCATTTTACTTTTCTGACTTTTAGCCATGTGTTCTGATGTTGTAATGTCATATGTGGCAACCAGAACCATCATATACACATGAGAGGAAGGTTCTATGGAGATATTCTCTGACTACTGTAATAACACATTAGTTCTGACTAACCACTGTTTTCTCATAGGTTACTTCAGAAACACCTAGCGTCAAACCTTATGATAAAATATGTTGAGTTACGCAAGCAAATGAACTCCCTAAACAACAATATGTATGCGTAAAGGAATAAGATTCAAGAATGAAATTGTAAAATATTGACAATGGAACTAGAACCTGACGTTCCAGTGATAACCATAGCTCATCATCATATCGGAAGGTGTTCTGGTTTGAAATGAGGTTTGTCAACGAATCCATTTTGACGCTAGGAAGACAGAACAATATGATTTAATTCACAAACAAGCATTTATAATTGTTAATTGGTATGTCAGTAGGGAATCAAAATGAAGTTATACAGAAATACTGCAAAATAACTTCTGGGTAAGATGACTTTTCACCACCTGATTCTGCCATATTCAATTGGGGGTAAAATAGCTCACAGTTCCCTGATTTTGTTCACGTGATAATACTGTTAAGTATCCGATATTACTGTTAGTACCTTGGAAGTGACTTTCTTCTTCTAACCATCATTAACTTAAATAACATTCAGCCGAAATTAGCGATGGAGTGAAGGTCCCAATAGATGACTCCCCAGTAGTGCACATGCATGACCCCAACAAGGATCGAACCCGAGAGCTATAAGTTCCGTAACCAGCACATTACTACTGAGCCACCAGACTGGTACCCAGTCGTCTACATTTACTACTTCTGTCACTTCACGATGTAGCGCCACCTCCATCCAATGCCGTCGTTAAGTAACCATCTTCATGTCCCATTTAGTTGGCCCCATTGGTCACGACTTCTCATTAAAGTTTCGCGAATCTCATCTCAAAACGAGTCTATTGTGTGATTATCTACAAGATATGTCTGGTTGTTATATATGAAACGCAGCCTAACAATATACTCATTTCGCCATCGAAAAAAATGGGAACAAGACTGTTCAAACCACAAAGTCGAATGTGTATAATGTATTTGGTAGACATCCATATGGAAAGCTACTAGGTCCAAAGTGCTTAGGTGGTCTAATCAAGCTGTCGTAAATGAAAAGGTTGATAAGCAGACCAAGGTCACACGCTATTGCTTGAGTATTCATCTTAATCTCCGAAAGTGGGGTCAGCTGGTCGCCAATATAATAAAGTCTAAATAACGTGTGAAAGTGTAAATGTTCTGTGTTCACCCCAAAGCAAATCCAGAGGTCGTTATCGGCATAGTGTGTTTGCGAATGAGGTAAAACTGCTATTCGCAAGAAGTTAGAACTAGTTATTCCCTGTTTTTGATTGGTTTGGTCCCAAATGATCACTCCTGGTTAGCGTGTGGTCTTCCGTACGGATACCCCGATATACCAGGTGGTTTCATTTTGATATTAAGGATGGGTGGTGGTTAGCCGTGGTAATGCTAAGATGTTTGAAACGATGGTCGTTGGTTTCCAGTTTGAGAAGGACCAACACCACTCACTGGGATGTGGGTGGATCCAGTTGGTGAGCCCCACAGGCTACGAAACATTTGTCCTGCCAGCCACTATCTATCCTTACATCTAGAAGACTGACTTGATGCATTGTCTTGGTTGAATGAAGTACAACTCATTTTAATGTGTTGGTTTTTCTTAAGTAACAAAGTGAAAAATCATTGTCTGGCTTCTGGACACACTTCTTCCCACTCCTGATCAAGGGTTTTCTTAAACACCGACCCACCTGGTACTCACCATGAAGATTTATAAACAAATAACTAAGCATTCAAAACTGAACTTGTTGTTAGTAATTCATTCACAGGAAATGAATGATCCATTATCCAGACACATTTCACAGTCACTTCAATTATCTGATGATAACCAAAATACAAAAGTATCACGATAATTGAAAGAAATATCACACCTCACTGCAGAATTTTTTCAGCTACTGAAAATATTTCTTAAGTGTCAGACTTTGT